CTATATACAAATTATTGGTAATTATGCAAATTATTAATAATTATGCAAATTATTAATAATTATGCAAATTATTAATAATTATGCAAATTATTAATAATTATGCAAATTATTAATAATTATGCAAATTATTAATAATTATGCAAGTTGTTAATAGTTATGCAAATTATTGGTAATTATACAAATTATTAGTAATTTTAGAAATTATTAGTCTTAAAACTGTATGTATTTAAATATACAAATAATTTTTAGTTGTTAAAAATGAACAATCATATATTAGAAGTACATAATAAGATAAAATATGACATGTTTCAGGCTTATGAAGGTTTTGATAAAGATGGGAAAATAAAACATCCAGAAGTGTTCTTTGACAATGAAAAAGTTAGATTTTGTTAACTTTATTTTTTTATCTAATATTTTAAAACATAAAATTTAAATGTGATGTTTGTAAAAATAAAAAATTATTTTTTGAATGAACCATAACATTACAATTTAAAAAAAAATTACCTTAGATTCGATTTGAGCGACGTTTCATGACTTTTCAATCTATTGATACCCACCAGTCTGTACAGTATAAAGACTACAAAGATGTTACATCTCTTCCTGATGACCAATTTTGTTCCGTGAGTTTTTTATTAACGATTATTTTTTAACCATAAAATTTTACGTAATCCATCTAATTTATTTGCTACTAATAAATAATGTTAATTTAAACACTACTAGTTAATTTATAATATATGATGTTTAGTAGGGAGTGGGGGGGGGATGGGGGGTTAGATTAGTGACCTTAGATTTACAATCAAACTGCATAACCATATTAAAAGCTTTTTTTTTAAAATTCACTAAATGATAGCTAAGCATGTTGACTATTAATGCAATAATATTCTGTTAATACAATAATATTCAAATAACCTGCTATATTTTTTTGCTGAGATGGGTTATTTTTCCCATCTCACTCTAACAGTAGGGCTATGCATAGCCCATCTCACTCTAATATTTTGATGTATTATGAAAATAAGCAATTGTATCATTTATTTTAATATCTATAAAATCAAGTTCTTATCTTGTTTATAACTAATGCATACAAAGTAAAAAGATAAATCAAACACAAAAATCTTCTTCTTCAAAAAAAGTCAAATTTTAAGAAGGCTTTTATGATGTATTGAACTAATACTCAAATTTACATATTTTTGAAATGTGCCCTTCTTGGTACATTAATATATTTTGCAGGATTTCTAGTTTCTATTTTTTGGCTCTGATAGCAGCAATGGCTGCCTTTATTGAGTCTTCTGACCAGTTTTCTCTTCCAATTTTTCTCTTTTAAGCATTATACAAATGAACAAATAAAAATAAGTTGGTAATATAAATACTTCAGTTAATGTGTACATCAAAAATGGGTGAAATGAACTTCCAGACCAAATCAACCTGGCTACATCTGCCCATCTCACCCAACATTTAATTTACTTATTTAAAAGTAATTGATTCATAAGTATTTAAGCTAAATAAATAACATTTGAGAGATAAAAAGCTGCATAATATAAAAAATCTTCTTCAAGTCACAATCAAATGTCAAATATGCAAAAAAAACAAAAAAAAACATTTGAGAGACCTTAGATGCTGCATAATATGAAAAATCTTATTTAAGTGTCAATATTTGATTGTCAAATATTTTGCATATTTGACAATCAAATGTCAAATATGCAAAATACTTATAGAGAGCCTTGCTTGAGGCTAGTGTTACATTAAACAGTTTTTGTTTGTCTCACATACGTGTTTACAAATGTTTTGGGTCTCTAGCCCAACTCACCAAAATAGCCCTTCTCAGCCACTGCTCCCCTAATAATAAACTAATTTAATCCGATTATTATTAATTTAATAAGAGTAAAACCTTATCAAATTTGACAGGATTTTAAATAGATTATTATTTTGTGAATTTCTTATGTATTATTTTAAATTCTGGTTTTATACAGAACCTGTATAAAACCGTCTGAGGCAATTTAATAGGCATTTGACAGTTTGTTTCAGAATATAAAAAGTCAACAAGTTTTGAAACTCATTTTATTTCAATATTTTATAGTTCTAAATAATTAAAAGTTAATGTTATACTAAAATGTTTTTTTAAAAACTTGTTTAATGTGCATAAACTCAACATTTATTATTAATTTATCTCAGAAATGTCATATTAAAAATATATGCTATATTGAAATATGTTTTATTAGTAATATATTTATTATTCATTTATATGAAACAAAATCAAATATGTTTGCACTTTTTGTTTTTCATATATAAAAGTTTAAGAGAAATTAGTTTAAGGTATATGTGATATTTGTTTTTCATGGTGCAGAGTTCCCAACTTTATTTGAAATCAATGATGCATTACCAAAGAGCAATGGATATTCTTCAATATATTGAACAAATTGATGTTGAGGTAAAAAATTAAAAATGTAATATACTGTATAATTTAAAGATTCAAACAAACTTTTTTATGAATATATTGAATTTTTTTTCTTTAAATAAAATTTACAACAGCAACAGTTGAGGATAACAAATCTTCTTAACACCTTTACACACCCCTACATTTTTACACACTACTGTCAGGAAAACACTCCTCTTCATGCTTTCCATGTCAGGAAAACATGAAGATGAATGAGAGTTTTCAGGTTTTGCTGTTACTAAGCTTGTTCTAAGCAAAAAGTGAAGAATTTTTTTTCAAGACAGGCCTAAAATGTATAAAGTAATATAAATGTAATGTATAAAGTATATCATTAATGTTTTAAAAAGTATGATGTTGTTAATGTAGTTAAGAAAGTAAAGATAGAACCTAGCAGTTACTCCTAAAGGTTAAACATATCCTAAACATATCCATTCAGTGCCATAGCAAGCTTTGTTTAAGGCTAAACATAATTTTTGCCCTTACCCCCCCCCCCTCCCATCCTTAAAGAGGAAAGGGTATTTTTCAATGTCTATTAAATTGGCCTATAACTTACTGAAAACTGTAAGTTTGTGAATAAAAAGATGAATATTTACAATATTTTACATTTTTTTCTTGGTTTAACAATGTTTTTGATTAACGAAAGGTAAAAAGTAAAGAATTATAATGCTAAATTTGAACTATTTAAAAATATAGTTAGCAATAAAAAATAAAGAACTAATCATTTTAATGTCATAAATTTTGCTTCTATAGGTAAATACACCTCTAAATACACCGCTAAAGGCACCTCTCTAAGACTTGCTTTTAAGACTAAAGTTTCACTTGACTTACTAGAGTACTGTTGACACTATAAATTAATAAATTAAAAAACATTGCTAAACTGTAAAATAGTATGCCTTATTTTTCAAGCAATACTGCCTAGTGGATGAATTGAATGTATTTTATAAGTATTATACCAATCAAATTATTATATTTTTATTTTTATTGAATATTCAGATCAAATGTGTTTTATAATGTCATTTTTAGATAAGCTATTATAATCTCACACAGTTAGTGCATTTACAACATGTACCTTTTATAAAAAAAATTTTAAATACACTTTTTACACATTAAAATCTTGCTATCTTTTTAAAAATTTGCACATAAAAATGGTTTTCTTTGTTTCTTTAATACAACAAAAATAAAATTTGTTAATCTAAAAAAGATTTTAATCTTTGTTTTTTGTGAATATTTTACATTGTAGTTGAGAAATATGTTATAAACAAGCTCAAAAAGCAAGCATATATTGAAAGCATCTACTTTTTGTTGTTTTATAAAATTGAAATGCTTAAAAGTATAAAAATATAAAAACTTGTGCAGTTTATTGCTTTTTTAAAGCGCGATTCTTAAATGCATAAACTTGAGTATAAATTTGGATTTAAAGTAACATTAGTATAATAAAATTATAATTTGAATTGAAATTATTGAATATATTTGATATTGCATATACTCTTATATTTTAATGATAAAAAGTAAAAACAGTAAAAAATGTTAATAACTTCATAACTGATCATAAAGGTTTTCAAACATCATCAAAATATTTCTTTGGTTTCAAAAACATAGGTTCATGAGCAATTTTTTATCTTGTACATTTATATGACTGTTTTTTACTTTTGTTTTTAGTTTTTGTCTTTAGCAACACCTTAGCAACACCTTAGTTACAATAATCTCTAGAGGATAAGCAAGCAGTTTTTTATCTTGTATGCTCATTTGAAAATAAATCTTGGTATTACTTAGAAAGATGCAAATGGATAATTTGGTTAAAAAAAAAAAACAGGATCTCTCTAAAAGACAACTCATCACATCTGTAAGCTGTTTTAAAGGCAATTTTCTTACAAGAAAGAAGCTTTAAATAGCTTTTTATATCTTTATAGTTTGCTTCAAAACCTTCCTCAGATAAATTGCCAAGACCTTATTGACTCATTAAGAATAATTAATTCAGCTGAAGGATGATATGAAGAGTGTGGTTAATTTGTGCAGATGACATTTTTGTAGTAATATTAAGTGCACCATTAATACATAACTCTTAAAATTTGTTTGATTTTAATTTTACATTGACAAGAAACTATACAATGTATTACACTGATTTGAGAATGTAATAGTAATATGCTATCTTTAAATATAGGATTGCATAGATCTTTTATAGGAATTATAAATTATTCAGAAAAAATCTACAGCCTTGTGATCCTGCAATTAGATAGAATTGTGATCCTGCAATTAGATGTTGCAACACATATCTAATTGCAGTTCGGAATTTTCTTCGGAATTTTTGCCAAACTTACAACACTTTTCGTTTTATTTGTGTTTAAGGTATCTATTGTTTCCATATGGGTTTTAAAAAGTACATTACCAACACAACCAAAAGTCTTATTATTTTGTGTATTAACTCTATATAAATGGTAACCTAATAACTGGTTAACATTCAACTCTGGACTTTCATTAGTGATAAAGTTGTTTACATAATTGACAAGTTCCTGTTTACTCTTCTTTTTCATCATATCACCGAGTTCTGTTAAAAATTTTCTTTGTTTTGAAAAACACGGTTCTGTTATGTAAGCCTCCTCTACTTCATAACTTTTGATGCTTGTGAAAGTATAAATACATTTTTCTTGAAATTTTTTTCTTACAGGCGGTTGTAATGTTTCCATGCTTTTTCACACACATTTCCAAACTCCTGTGAATTAACTGATAGTCCTAAGTTTTTGAAAAGTATTTATTTGGCTGGATATGTTATTGAGTTGGACTTAATAGCTTAGTCAGCTTTAAAAAATTGTGTGAAAAAATCTTTTTCAGTGATGTTTTTTACTTTTTAATTCTCCTCCATTACATTAATTTTTTAGTTTACTTATGCTAAAACACAAATAAAATAAAATCAAATAAATAAATTAATGTCAACTTTTTAAAATTATTTAAATAAAAAAGTGCCAACTTGCCTCAGTATTCTTTAGAATATTTAAAAAAAAGAAATATTAAATATTTTTATAAAGTATGTTATCACTTTAGATAAAACCTATGATTTAATCTGGTTTTTTGTTAAAAAAACGAAACAAATTTTTAAAAAAAAAAACAAACAAAAGAAATTTACAACAAAATTAACCTTAGTTAAGTTTGAATGAACTAAAAAAAACAATGTAAATAAAATAAATTACACATTTCATTTCAGTCTTTCCAAAAAGTCCTCAATGAATTTTTATAATCAATTAGTTATGATTCTATTTTCAAAACTTTGCCTTCCGGATCCACTGCGCTATAGTTCCATATAAATTTGTATAAGTTAACAGGCTTGGACAAAAATGGCATGCAATTAAATGCTATTGCTGAACACGTAAATGATTTTTTTTCTTGACATTTTGTCTACTAATCTTTAGATGTTTTGATGATTTCAGAAATGCTTTAAAAATAGAAAGGCTAAACTTAAAGCTAAACTTTAACTAAGAAGAAAATTTAATTGAAAAAAAAATCGAAAAAACAGTTCCTTACAAAAAAAAAAAAAATTACAAGCACTAAAATAAAACTCAAAATTCAAACTCAGAGCAAAAATTACTTTTTTGTTACATTTTTAATTTTTTGAAATAAATTACTTTAAAACATATTTTTAAAATTTTTTATTAAAGTTATGCAAAATGCTTTTACAGACGTAACAAATTACTTCTAATGATTGTTTCATAACTGAGCAAATTTTATTTAAATTATTGAAAAATTGTTATATTATTGTTATAATATTTTTAATTTGTAAAAGATTTATTTTTCCCTAAAAGTTGAAAAAAAAAAAGAAAGGTGTTTAAAAAAATAACTTTGTTATCTTAATTTATAAAATCATATTATGTATGTTATATGAATTAAAAAAATAAAGTATAATATTCTTTAATAATTTAAACATAATGCAATTTAAATAAAATATACTGCCAACAGACAATTTAATTTAATTTTAATTTGAGCATTACAATCAATTTGTTACTTTATTCATAAGTATTTCACATAATAAATTTAAAAATTATTATAAAAGATTTGAATTAATGAAAAATAAAAAAAATTGAAAATTAAAAAGTAAAAAAAAAAGAAATCTTGAAAAAAAATTTATATATATCATTTTTTGTTAATTTACACAAATTTTATTTTAAGCAGTCATTAAAATTCATCTTAAAGTCCTCATGTAAAATGAAAGTTTTAAAAATGCTCAAGGATTAAAAGTTATTCATAATGTAACAATTTTTTTTATTACATTTAAATTGTTAAAACATCAAAACAGTTGTGGTCATTTACAGTGTATAAATGCAGGCCATTCCTGCTTAAGCCTGAATTAACAGTAACTAAACGAACAAATTTACCTTGGAAAATATTTTGATTTTTTATAAATATTTAATTTTAATTATATAAGCTAAAAGTTAGTTTAGTGTTGTAGACGTTACTATTAAATCAAATAGGTTCAAATCATGGCACTGGGGATCTTGTCTTAAAGTTTAGGTCAATTTTAATGTCAATTCCAAATAAAGTTAAATAAAAGTTTTTCTATATTTAAAACTTAAAAAACAAAAACAAAATGTCACAACACAAAACTAAATAGCCTTTTTCCTTTTATATATATATATATATATATATATATATATATATATATATATATATATATATATATATATATATATATATATATATATATATATTTGCATGTATATTTGTATAAAAGTTTTGTCAGAGCACCCCAGAATGTAATTTTGAACAATTAACAGATGTTTTGGAAGTAGATTAAAAAATTTATCCTCTAGCAATTGAAAAAAATGAACTTATTCTCTACTCTATACTTCATACTTCAATCAAATTTTTTAAAAAAATAATCAAGTATTATTAAGGCTTGTGTCAGACGAATTGATGTTGAGAATGGCATTTTTATATTGTAACATAAAAAACATTTGTATTTGTTTATAACAATATTATAAAATCAAATAAGAGCCTCATAAAAATAAATTTCAAACTTAAAGTTTAGATTGTATTTCTAAAGTTGAAGTTTAACTTTACAACTGTAACATAACTTTACAACCTAACTTTTTTAACCCTGTCAATGTTTAATGTCTTAGTTGTAATTAAAAAGTAGTAAACTGTATATAACCTCATATATAACCCTATATAGTATAATCTAATATATAACCCTATATGAGTTATAACTTATTTCTTAGCGCATCAGCCTTTTCTGTCAAGGTTCGTGTTTTGGAGTTATAGAGTTAAGAGAAGGTTGTAACCACAACAAAAGTGGCCTCCTCAACTTTAGTGGCCTTCCCTGCCTTGGGGAGGTGAATTAACATATATAAAAATATATATATATATATTTATATGTCATATATAACCCTATATAACTTATAAATAAATAAATATATTATAAGTAAATAATTTAATTCATACTTTATAACTTGAGTTGTTTTACTTAAATTTATACTTTATTTGTTTTACTTTTTTTAATTCATACTTTATAACTTAAGTTGTTTTACTTAAATTTTTACTTTATTTGTTTTACTTAAAAAGATTTAAATAAATTTTATTTACATTCATGTTATATATATATATTATATATAATTATATATATATATATATATATATATATATATATATATATATATATATATATATATATATATATATATATATATATATATATATATATATATATATATATATAAATATATATATATATATATATATATATATATATATATATATATATATATATATATATATATATATATATATATATCATTTATTTACTTCATATTATATTTATATTTTTTCGTTTATTTTTATAGGGTGAAAGGTTAATGAAAATAGCAAAAACAAATTTTGTTGTCATGAAACTTATTTCTTCTGGTCACAAACAAGCATCAATTGTGAGTGTCTAGTTATTATTTAATAAATTTATTTTTTATTTTTGGATTATCTTTTGTTTTATAATTAATTTTTCAAAAGAATGTATTTTAATACAATTTTAAATGTTTTCTGTAAGATACATAAATATATTAAAGTTAATTATTAAACACAAGTATATTAGAATGTATAAATTTATTTGATGATTCAATCATGTTTTATATTTTAGAAATCACCTATATGGGACTTTAAATATCACCAGAGTTACCCTTTGATTCGACTAGTTTGATTTTAGACGACAAGACTGTTAGAAATTTATATATTTTTACAAAGCATTTATAAAAATATAAAATGTTTTGGTTTTTATTTTTTGTTGTTGTTGAGTTTATTGTGTTTTATAAAAAATTTTAATTAACTTGATTGTTATTTATAAGAGCAAGTGACACAATAAAAATGCAAAGATTTATAGCCAGGGACAATTCCAGACCTGTTTTAGTATTGCGAGAGGGTATGGGGGTCCAGAAAATATTTATGATTTTATGTATATTATATATTTATATATGTATATATATACATATTTGAATATATATAATATATATATGTATATATATATATATATTTATATAGACATATGTGAATATATATAATATAATATATATATATATATATATATATATATATATATATATATATATATATATATATATATATATATATATATATATAATGTATATATATTATATTATATATATTCACATATGTCTATATAAACATATATATATATATATATATATATATACATATATATATTATATATATATGTTTATATAGATACATATATATATAATATATATATTATATATATATGTATCTATATAAAGACATGATATCTTTAAAACTCTTAATATCTTTTAATTGACTTATTCATTATATATCTTTTTTAGTATTTTTAAAAATGATATAAAAAACAACTCAAAAATAAAAAAAATAAAAAAATAATAAAAAAAAAAAATCAAAAGAAAAAATGGTTTTAAAAAAGATTTTTTGTCGAAAGCGCACTAAAACTAAAGGTATTTGTAATTTTATAAAGTTTTAAGTTTTTTTCTTTTTTAACTTTTTTCTTTATTAACTATTTAACTTTCACTATTTTTCTTACACTCTTATATTCTTATTTACTTTGATATAACTTACTTTTATTAACTTATTTCTTACATTCTTATTTACTTTGTTTTCTCAGTTTTGTTTGGTGCTTGCTTATTCAGTTTTTTTACTGATTACTTAATTGACTAATTTGAAATTTGACATTTTTTAATTTTTTATTTTATCTGAAATTTTTTCTAAAAAGATAACAGATTATAGTTTTTTAAGACTTTAAAAAATTTAAAAAATTTTTAAAATATTTCTTACAGCTAATGAAGATCGTCATGTTTCTGCACACAATGCTGAGCATAACAGTATATACTGTGTAAGTTCTGGATATCACTTATTACTGTATATATATATTTTTTACAAATTTCTATTTCTATGATTGATACTACTACTTACAAATTTTGATTTTTAACTACTACTACTACTTACAAATTTTAATTTTTAACTACTACTACTACTAACAAATTTAAATTTTTTAATCTTTTTATTTTATTTTAAGAGCAATTTCATTAAAACTTCAAAGTATAACATTGTTACCTTTCTTCCACTGAATTTGTTTGAGCAGTTTCGAAAAGCAGCAAATCTCTACTTTCTTTTTCAAATAATTATAATGGTATGATTTTTTTTCTTTTTCAAATAATTGATTTCTTTTTTTCATCATAATAATATTAGAACTGTTTCTCATTTAGAATAGAAAGCTTAAAAAAAGAAACAAATTTTTATTTTGATTCATATGTTTTGAGATAATTTGTACATATGTTAAGTTGATAATTTGTACATATGTTTAACTTGTGTGTATGTTTTAGATAACTTGTGTGTATGTTTGAGATAACCTGTGTGTATATGTTTGAGGTAACTTTCATATATAAGGATAACATTAAAATTCTTTGATTATTCTAGTATTATAATAAAGAAAGTCTTGCAAAATTTTGCAATAATGACAGGCAAATATTGTGATTCTATTGTGGTTCTCAGTAAATACATTTTTTTTTTAAATGGCCTAGAAAAATTAAAACATAAAATATTTAATAAAATTTATTTTTAGAGAAATAACAATTTTTTCAAAATTTCTGCTAGAAAGGAAACAAGTAATATATAAGCAATATAGTATTATAAGTAATAAAATATTATAAGTAATAATAAATTGCTGGAATAGCAATTGTTAAAAGTTCTTTTTGTAAAAAGACTTTCCATAACTGCCTTCAATTATGCACAAGTTTTCTTGTTTTATAAGTTTTTATAGCTTTTTTGAATGCTTTTAATTTCTCCATCATTAAATTGCTTTGGAGTTTTAGAGTATTCAGATCTAAGATCTCTCTGCTACTTACATGGAATTGCCTTTATGGAGATAATGATAGACTTTGCTTTATATTTATCTTTAAATCCTTTCTTTTTTCTACTTCCAGCTTCTTATTCAATTGATTGCAAAATAAATCCAACCAAGGATCAAGAAATTGCTTGATAATGAATTGTCAACATGTGAGGATAAAGGATTTTGAAGAAAAATTTTCAAAACTTTTTTTTCAATTTAATATTTTTTTACTCCTTTTAATCTAATAACAAATACTTATTATTATCAAACTACAACATGTTTTTTGTGCGCAGAAAATTTAAAATTTTAAGTTGTTTTTGAGTAATTAACAAATAAAGGAATTTCATTGTGTTGAACCAATAAACTCTTAGTTAAGTTTGTGTTTAAGTTTTGTTCCCAAAACTTAAACGCATAAATAAAAATTAAAAAAATTAAAGAAAGTATGAAAAAAAGTATAATAATGTTGTTATGGGAACAGCAAATAACATTTACCTTGTAAATGATATAGCAATAGTAATGGAAGTAGTAATTGTGTTTATATAGACAGCAGTAGTAATATACATTTTTTTGTGTGTATAAATTAAATGTTTGTATGATTAGAAATGTATGTTTTAGTCAATTCCCAAAATCACTGCTTTAAATCCTGCTTCTACAGCTGTTCCACTTGCTCTTGTTCTTCTTGCTACCATGATTAAAGATGGATTTGATGATTATGGAAGGCATAAAAGTGACAGTCAAATTAATAATAAAATAGCCAATGTTTTGGAACCAGACGGCCTAAAAAAGAAAAAATGGCAAGATGTTTCTACTGGAGATATAATTAAAGTCGAAGATGATGAATCTATTCCTGTATGTTTATATTAAGTCAATATTTTATTTTTAAAAATTTGGAAAATTATTAGCAATAAAAATATGGTTGCAATAAAAAGATTTAAAGATTTAAGTTAATTTAAAGGGACAAAAATGTCTCTGTTAATCTTTTGTTCTTTAAGCATTGTTTCTTTGCAATCAATGTTTAGTAAAAACAAAGTTTTATAAATATATATATATATATATATATATATATATATATATATATATATATATATATATATATATATATATATATATATATATATATATATATATATATATATATATAAATCACTTTTATATTGTTTTGCATGCTTTTTGTTTTTCTTTTGTGTTTAAACTTATCTTTATAAAAATAATTTTTAAAAATTACATTTTTTATTGCTTTCTGATTACTTTGCACCAAAGATGTCATACCAAAATAGCCATCTGCCATGGCTTCAGTTTATTTTAGTTTATTTGGTAAAGTATTTCCTGAATAAATTTTAGGCTGATGTTTTGCTTATATCAACACAAAATCCTAGCGGACTATGTTTTATAGAAACTGCAGATTTAGATGGGTAAGATTTTTTTATTTATTTTCAATGGTGTAATTATAATAATTATAATGATAATATTTATAAAAATAATTATAATAATGATAGAAATAATATATATATATATATATATATATATATATATATATATATATATATATATATATATATATATATATATATATATATATATATATTTGTTATTTACCTACCAAAAACAGACAGGGCCACAACAGTTGAAAAGCCTACTTTATAGTGCTTACAACCCTCTATCAACTCTTTAACTAAACACAAAAACCTTGAAGCAAGTTTTGTCAAAAAACTAGACCAACAACATGATACACAGTTTTCAACCAACAACATGATACACAGTTTGCAACCAACAACATGATGCACAGTTTTCAACCAACAACATGATACACAGTTTGCAACCAACAACATGATGCACAGTTTGCAACCAACAACATGATGCACAGTTTGGCTGTGAAGGACGTACATAGACATACATACAAGTTTTAATCTTGCAAGTTCTTACTTAATTTCTGACTATTGTGAATGTTAATACCCAAATGAATTAATGCTTGCATAGCAGAGATGCAGAGTCTCAAAATGGACTTCACATTCCTGCAGGATGAAAGTCACAAATAGATTACTTGTTCCTGGTTTTCATGAGCTCTAAAAATACTTATGGGGACTACTTATGGGGAAAAAAAGATTTTTACATTAAATGAACAATCAATTTTTGAAGCCGGAGTTTAATGGTGGCTAGTACTCCAGGACTCGGGGCTTAAAAACAATAAGTTCCTAGTCATTGAATGTTATGAATTTTTTTCTTATAACAGATTATAAGTCAACCAACATATTTAAAACTACTAGACACCAGAGACAGGGTAAAATAGAGATGGAAAGCCGGAGTCCTTTTGGGACTCCCCATCTCTGCTGCACAGTTCAATAGCGCTTTGCCAAGGACTTTTATCTTCTGTTGAAATGAAAAATGAAAACCAAGTCAAGAAAAAAAAATGTCAACCATTTTAAATGTCAACCAAATTTTAACTTCTGTTAAAGCTGCATTAAAGCCATGCTTTTCTCAACAAAAAAAAAAATGTTTTTACCTTTATTTTTTGCACAGTTACAAGGATTGGAATCTTAAAATGTGGTAATGTTTTATTTTCTCAAGCAAAACAAAATTTAAACAGTTTGCAGCGCACAAAGTCAGTTTTCACTATCCACCAAATTCATGCTTCAATCCTCAATATCGTCTACATCTTCTGTTAAGTAATATACAGCATATATGATTTGGGCTGCTACCAAAGGTTGTGCTGGGTTATATAATTTACAACAAAGTGAGACTGTCAATTCTGTAAATTTTCTGGAAACTTTGAAGAAAAATATGCCTATTTAGATTCAAATTAGTTAGTTTAAAATTTTTATGCACAATGAGGCAATTTTTGCCAAACTTTTGCCAAGTAAAAATTGTCAAAAAATGTCCAAGAAAAATGATTAATACTTTTTCTCCTCGGACAAACAATTATAAACCCCAAAAAAAAACCCCATTTTAAACCCCAATAAAAACTGTTGTATAAAATTAAAAGCAAAATTTTGTAAACAGAACCCAAGCAAACCTTGAAAACCTTGTGTCTTAAAATCACCCCCAAATATTGTGAGGCTGTTGTTGCCTCAATGCTGCAAAGAATGCTGTTCTAATAATTTGAGAAACCTAAACTAAGTACTAAAGCATGTTTTATAGTGTGACTTATATTTCTTTATGTTAATGTATGTTATTTTTTGAATTAAAAGATTTATATACATTATAAAAATGTTTTTTTGCTATAAGTATTGTGTGGTTGGAGCTTTTTGATCATAGCTGAATATAAATTTTTTTAAATGTATATATATATATATATATATATATGCAGTCCTCAGCAGGAGTAAATGAGTACACGAGCTGTGGATGGCCTGTCTAGAACTGAGTTGGCAAGCAATAAGCATATTTTACGGGTTTTTTTGACATTTTGATAAAAAAGCTTATGAATAAAATAAAATTGATTACTTTTTAGTAATAGTTTTTTAAGTTTTACAATGAAATGTTTTGTATCATATCATCAGAAAAACTTCTTTCTGATATTTATTCAAGCATCGTATCTAGGGCCCTGCGAATCGTCATTTTTAGTTTTGAATTGAAACTTGAATTAAAGTGGATCTGGATTCGCGAATCGAATCATGAATCGAATCAGTAGTATGAGGAAATTTAAGTTTAAGCTTTCAAAAAAAAAACTTTAAAATTTTTTTTTTGCGCTGATTTTCAGCGTTTGTATGTATGGAAGAAATTTTCAGCGTTTGTATGTATGGAAGCAGTATTATAATTACTTTTGATTATAGTTACTTTACTCTGGCTAAGATAAATAAAAACATTTTAATAGCAGCTTAGCGTTGGATATCTGAAAAAACAACAGCACTCACAAAATAAATAGAGATTCAAAAAACTCGAATCATTTTTTTTACTTGAATCTCGAATCGAAGCAACACTTGATTTGCGAATCAAATCAATTTGTAGGGCCCTAATCGTAACGTTTTCTAAAAATCATATTGACCAAGCCCTCTCTCTTTATCCATCAGCCAATATTGTTGTTGTTGGTGACTTTAATGCTCATCACACTGAATGGCTTAGCTTTAGTGTCAGTAACTCTGCAGGCATTAAGGCTCACAACTTTTGCCTTTCTTAATCTCTAACTCAAATAGTCAACTTTCCAAATCATTTTCTAGACAACCCAAATCATTTACCTTCTCTACTCAACTTATGTCTTGTTTCTTATCCTAGTCAGTGCTCAGTTTTTCCACATTTACCCTTAGGTGCTTCTGATCACAGTTTGATCTCTCTAAAACTATTATCTCATTCTTTTTTATCATCTAAATCCTCCTTTTATCGTGCCTCTTACAACTACTGCTGACTGGGACTCTTTCCGTGATTTACTTTGTGATGGCACTTGGGTAGAAATCTTTTTTCTCTTCCTGTTGACAAATGTGCCTCTTACATAACTTTGTGGATTCAGGCTGGCATGAAATCTTTTATTCCCTTTTGACGATTTCAGGTCAAGCCTCACTCTTCTCCATGGTTTTCCTCATTTCATGCTGCTGCGATTGCCAATCAAAGCCGTTATCTACCATATCTATTAGCAAAACAATTCTCCAGAAAACAGACGCCTGTTTATTAATGCTAGAAACCATTGTAAAAAGGTTTTGCATGACGTTAAAGCCGCTATTCTCAGGTCATAAAATCTCATATTTCATCACAAAAATTATGCTTTTGTGACTTCTGGAGAATTTTCACAGACATTGTCACCTCACCTAAAGACAAAGCTGAATTGTTTGCTAAGAACTTTTTATCCATATCATCTCTTGATTCCACTAGTTGCATTCTACCTGATATAACCGACAAACAGGTTGATCCATTGCTAGACATTTGTATCACTTCAGCTTCTGCATGTTAAGTGATTTCCTGCTTAGGATTTTCTACTGCTTGTGGTCTGGACTACATACCTGTTATAGTCTTGCAGAAATGTTCTCTAGAGCTGTTGTCTATACTTTCAAAACTGTTTTACAAGTCCTTATCAGAGTCTTGTTTTTCAGCCTGCTGGAAAGCGGTATCTGTTATCCCTATTTTCAAAAATTCTGGAGAGCGATCTGATTTGTCTAACTACTGTCCCATTAGTCTTCTTCTTATCATAAGCAAGGTTTTCGAGTCTTTAATTAACAAACACTTAACCTCTCATCTTGAATCTAATAACCTACTTTCGATTATCAATATGGATTTTGATCTTCTTGTTCTACAGCTGATTTGCTAACAGTAATAACCGATAAGTTTTATAGTGCCTTAGATAAAGGTGGAGAGGTTGAGGCCATCGCTCTTGACATTTCTAAAGCTTTTGATAAAGTTTGGCATGCTGGTCTTCTTCATAAGCTTTCTTCTTATGGTGTATCTGGTAACATCTTTAAGGTTATTGAATCCTTCCTTTTCAATTGTAGTATAAAAGTTAAAGAAGCAAACACTCTCTGATAAGAAGCAAACACTCTCTGATTGCTTGTAGGGGGCATTTGAGCTTGAAAAGGATCTCACTTCTGCTACAGCATACGGCCCATAGTGGCTGGTGAACTTTTCAGAATAATCTAATAATTTTCAGAATAATATAATTCAGAATAATCTCAATTTTTTTCAGCCAATCGTTGTCGCAATAATTTAGATCTTCCTATATTTATGAATGGTAATGTACTCAATGAGTCATGTACCCTTCATCTTCTAGGGTTAACTCTTCCTTCTATTCTTTCTTGGAAACCATATATCAAATCTGTCAAAAATTAGCATCTGCTAAGGTTGCATCTTTTTATCGAGCTCAACACTTTCTTACCCTGGATTCTATTCTTTATCTCTATAAATCTGAAATCTGTCTTTGTATGGAATACTGTTGCCACATCTGGGGCAGATCTTCTAATGATGCTCTTTTTTTTTTTTGACAAGGTGCAAAAATGCATTGTAAACATAGTTGGCCCTGCTCTTGCAGCCAACCATTATCACATCGTCGTAAAGTTGTTTCTCTATTTCTCTTTTCTACAAATACTATAATGGGCACTGCTTTAAAGAGCTAGCGTCTCTTGTCCCATCTACTATAATTCATTCTCGTGTTACTTGTCATTCAATTAAGTCTCATCCTTTTTCTGTTACTGTTCCTAAGTGCCTAAAAAACTCTTATTCGTCTAGTTATTTCCTCGAACATCAGTTCTTTGGAATTCGCTTCCTTCATTTTGCTTTCTTGGTTCATATAATTTGCTATCTTTTTAGTCATCTGTCAATTGTTATCTTGCTCTACAATCTTCATCTTTTCTCTTCCAGTAACTTCCAACTCTAATTAGTGGTTGCTTGCAGCCTTGTTGCAAGTGAAGTTGTATAGAAAATTAAATAATACTCATTATCTAGATGTTTTTTACTATTTTTGTTTAAGTAAAATATGACTTATGAAAAAAAATTGTACATTTACATGTGTTTTATTTTGCCCATATGTATGTATGTGTGTGTGTATATATATACAGTAGAATTCTGTTAACTCGGACCCTGGATAAGTTGGACTTTTACTAAGTTGGACAAAATTTCAATACCCCTTGAATTCTCTATATATACCAAAAGCTTTGCTTAACTCAGACATTCGCTCAGTAGCACTCCACTGCGAGTCAGACTATTTGTCAGTCGATGTATGTACTGAAGCCCCCAGCAGCAGGCTATTTCAGTATGACATCAGATTGCTCACCTTAGTACGCAATACTATTTGTATATATATATATATATATATATATATATATATATATATATATATATATATATATATATATATATATATATATATATAAATGTATATATATATATAAATGTATATATATATATATATATAAATGTATATATATATATAAATTTAATACTAGCGAAACAAACCTTAAAGTTCGTCAACCACTTTCTGAAACTAATGAATTATTTGTCAATGATGTTGCAATCCAAAGTTTTAATGGTAACAATAATTTTTATATATTCTTTTTAATGTATTCTTCTAATATATTGTTGGAATGCTTAATATATCAGCGGTGTCAAGGTTTTATTTATAATCTTTACAAATCTAAATAAAAACTATGAATACTATATGAAATAAAAAACATTAATGGTCAACTGTAGAATTTTCTTTATTAAATTGTTTGATTTTTATCTCACATACTGTAGGATAAACAATTTAATTAAAAGTGTATGTGTGTGTGCGATATATATATATATATATATATATATATATATATATATATATATATATATATATATATATATATATATATATATATATATATGTATATATATATATATATATATATATATTTATATGTATATATATATATATTTATATATATACATATATATATATATATATATATATATATATATATATATATATATATATATACATACATATATATATACATATATATGTATATAAGTTATTTATGGTGACATACTATTTATTTAACTTACTAAAAGTTATTTAAATTTAAGTAATTTAGCAATGTAAATTTGCATGTAGATCTGTGTCAGATTTAGTTTTTTTTAATTTAATTCCTCATTGGTATGATTTAAATAAAAATAAAATTTATAATACAGATGTAAATTGATTACATGATGCATCACATGATATGGAAATGATCACATGGTATTTTAAATAATGTAATTTCCAGATGGATGGCAAATATTTATAAATTTTTTAATATGTTTAAGTATTTTAAATGTGTTTTGTTTGTTTGCTAACTTTCAAATATTAATGTTGTTTCCGTTTAAAATTTCAAAGTTTTATTTACTCTCAGAAGCCTATTTTAATCTCTTCACATGTTTTAATGGCATTTGCCACCTATTTTATCAGTATTTGACAAAGAGGTTTTTAAAAGTCAGCATCATCTTTTTTATCCATAATTTTAGTTTTTTTTTTAATTTACATTTTTTGGACATCTAGTGCAGTGCAAATCTCTCTACTTATTACTGGGACAAGTTTTCTCTTTTTGTTGGCTGGGCAGCCTCAAAGAGTAGTTGGTAGGATAATCTTTTAGAATATGATTACTGCAGGATTTTTTTTACTACATTAGTTTATCACCCAGTTTATAAATTAAAGTTAAAAAAATTAAAAGTAACTTCAAATAATTGAAAATGTTGTTTTTAGCACACAAAATGTCAAATTTGTTAGAAAAAAGAATTATTAGCAAAAAAAATGATCAAGACTATCACTAACAATAAATTCAAGTATTAAACATATATTTAAAATATATAACAATTATATAGCCATAAAAAACCTGTAAATTTACAAATTTATAGTTTCACAACAGGACTAATCAAATTGAATTTTGTAATATTCCCAAGTGTAACAGGCATAAACTAATTGGTAAAATCTCAAAATAAACTCACTATTATAATTAAGAATAAAATTTACAGTATCTAGGTTGTAAGTAGGTGGAAAACCCCTTTGAATGCAACCAAAAAAGCTGCAATCAGCCAGTAAGGCTTCTTTTTTTTTATTACTCTTGACATTGAAATTAGCAGCAGCTAAAAATGATCTGTGACAAAAGATTTGTCTTAAACAGCAAAGTAATCATAGAAACTGAAACCATTTTGAAAAAATTTTGAGGTTAAAAATAAACTGTTCTACAAGAGCCACATTGAAAACTTTAAAAAAAATATTTGCAATAGAAAATGAAAATATTGGATTAACTGTGTTGCTACCAAATCAGAACATTTTGGTAAATAAAGAAAATTTTCACATAAAAAATGTTATTTTACTTGTTAGGGACAGGATTTTTTGACTCATTTGATACATATTTTTAAATACATACAAGATATGGTATTTAAAAATTTATTTAAAATGACCTGCAATTTAAAATAAACACATTTGTTATAAATTAATCTTCAAAACAACATTTTTATTACAAGTATCAGTTTTAAAATTGTAAAGGTTAAACCTTAACACCACTGGTTTGAATCAATTTGTAAATTGATTAGATGTTTTTTTTCTCAATAATATCAAGGTGAAGTAAAATGTGAGCCTCCAAACAATAGACTAGAAAGGTTCACAGGTAATCTGATATGGAATGATGTCACTTATTCTTTGGATAATGGAAATATTGTACTTAGGGTATTCATTTTTTTATATTCTTTTACCACAAAATTTAATAGTTTTTAATAGTTAATTCAATATAGTTAATCTTGTTCTTCAAAATAAAAAATTTTTGTTGAAGGGATGTGTTTTGCGTAATACCCCTTGGATATATGGCATAGTTTTATATGCCGGACATGACTCAAAGTTAATGATGAACAGTGGTGAGTATCTTTTTATAATTTTTTTTTTTTATATATGCATAAAGTTGTAACAAGTATTTTTACTCCAAAAATGTTTGAATTAGACAATTTAGAAAAATTCTTCTTTTACAATATGTGCACAAACTAAAAATTGATGAATTGGTTTCAATTTGTTTATATTTTTTACATTTGACAATAGTTAATAAATTTAAATAGCAATTAAAGAGGCCTATTAGCTGTCTGAAATGTTTTTTGTTCCTACATCTTACGATTTTAAACTTTTTGCTAGTTATACATAGCAACAATTTTGTTTGTTTGGCATTTGCTTTTCATTTTTAGTTGGCAACCAAACTACAAGCTTTAAATTATAGCTCAGTTTTAATAGCTGTATAACTTAAAATTTATTTCAAACTCTCATTACTTTCTATAATATTTATATTAAAAAAATTGATTGCAATGTTTATCCTTGACAAGATCTTATAAAAAGTAAATATTTATTTTTTATAGATTGGTTCATTTTTATGATGGTTTATTTTTTTGTTATTTTTATGTTTATTTTTAACACTTTTTTTATCTTAGGTAAAACTGTCTTTAAACGAACCAAATTGGATAGAATGACAAACCTTTTGGTCATATGGGTATTTTATTTATTTTTCAAATTTTTCTGCTTAGTATATATTTATTTATCTGATACTATATTAGGTATTAGGGATGTATATTTGTTCTCCTTTCAATTTCTTTATAAAAATAAAATTGGCCATGTAGTGCTTTAATATTTAGATTTTTCTATTAGAATTGACTGCCTCAAAGCTTTCACTATGATTCGAAATGACCTTAACTAATCTGTTTTGATTTTTTTGAATTTTGTTACTATTTTGTTACTTTGAAAACTGGTTTTTGAACATAAAATTTAAAGTTGTTAAAATAAGATTTTAACAATTTTAAACAATTTAAAATTCATTCTAATTTTACTGAATTTAAGTTTGTTTGTTTTGAAACTTTTATTTAAATATTGAAATTTAAAAAATAAAATGATTTAAATGTTAAAACAGTCTTCTTTATGGTTTTCTTTATGGTTTCAAAGAAATGATCCATGCATACATGTTAGTTATATTTTTATGTCTAAAAGCTAGCAGAGTATACTAAAATAGCATAGTTAGTCCAAGTGTTATGGTTTTATAGAATATTAAAATAAGGGATAAAAAATAAAATTAGAATAATAAAAGATAAAAAGAACTTCATCTGTAAACGCAGTATTTGAATTACATGATGAAAAATAAAATTTGTCAATAGGACTCAAGAATCTGTTTGATTTACATGATTTTCCATGTTATTTGAGTTTGAATTAAAGAAGTTTATTTCTGAGTTTTAACTAGTAAATCCTCGCAGGATCAAAGAATTTGTTTGATTTTAAAGATTTTTTGAATTATAGGAGTTTGAAATATGTGACTTCAACTGTATGTTGTGTATAAAACAATAATAAGTTATTTTAAAGACATACACAAACACACACACAAATACAGTGTTGGAAAAATATAACAAGACAACTATTTTTTAATCAAAATTGCCAGTTTGTTCATAAAAAATCAACTTTTTATTAAGTGAATGATTTTTTTGAGATAGCTGCAAGTATCATTTTTATTTAAAAAAATGTATTTGAGAGTATTTTTAGATTTTTCAAAAATCATATTTAATATTAAGTGAAAATATAAATTTTTTGACTAAATTCTCTGGGAAAAAATAATGGGACATAACATAAATAATTTGTTAAGAAGACTTATTGTATGATTAATATTTTGTGTGACCTCCTTTAGCTTTTATAATAGGGAGATGCCGTGTGAAAACATCCAATTTTTTTTGAAAATACAACCATAAGTCTCAGATTTTGCTGAATTAACCACTTAAAGATTTTAGTAAATTATGAACATCCTGAAAATTTTATCGTCTAATTTCAATCAGTTACTAAGATATAGCTATTTTAAGTTTGCCTCCAACCAACAAAAATCCGCCTATTTTAAAAATGGTTTTGGTCCTAGTTTCTGTTATATGTGTGTTGGAAAGCGGAAAATTTGTATCTTTACATATTTTGGGCCAACGAATCCAATAAAACAACTTTTAATATTTAAAAACAAACATAGCACCTAAAATTTGAAGGTTTACCACAATTTTACTGGGGCAAGTCCAATCACAGAAATGCTGATGTAGCTCGATTTTTTTTTTAATTTATTTTTTTAGAAGTTGTCCTGAATAGTTAAGCTATAGTTGCTACAAAGAATTGGATATTGGTCTTTTCTAAAACAGAAATAAAAACATGGACTAATCTACTTAAATTTATTGCTTAAAAAACAGGTATTATGACAAATTAAACAAGAAAAAAAAATGTGGTAATTTGACAGTTTTGTAACTGAAACAGTTTTGGCTACATTAAACTGTTCTTTTAGTTGTTGTTGACTAGCTGTTTCTGTTTTCTTTGTATTTTTTTAGAATCTTATCTTAAAAAAATTTAGTTTCAAAAGGGGAGAATTATATAAATGCAGATGTATATTGCAAATTTAGTTTTTTTTTTCAAAAGTTGTATTAAATAGTTTAGTTGGAGTTATTACAAAGAATCAGATTGCAGTCTTAAATCAGAAATAAAAACATCTTCAAATATACTTAAATTTATTACTTATAAAACATTAGTTTCATATTTATCAAACTTCATTTAATAAAATTAAAAAACAAAGACTCCAAAACAAATAGAGCACTCAGAAAGAAGTTCAAGAAACAAAAGTAATATACAAAATTTAAAATTTTTTATAAAATATGATTGTGTTTATATTGGTGATGCAAAACTCAAGCATTTCATCAACTTTCAATATTTGGTTTTCCAATAGCCTTAGCAAACTTGCTCTTGCTGTTATTCTTTTAACGATACCACCTATGCCATCACAAGTGGATTTTCCATGGCTGGTTGCAAAAAATACCCATTCAGCTGTAATCTCGAAATCTTCCTTATGTTGGCATAGATTTATAAAGTTTTTATAGTTTTATAATGAGCAGAACATCCATCAGAAAAATAATAAATTTTATTGATATCAACTAAATATTCTTTAATGTACTCTACAATTTTCTTTTGAAATTCATACACAAACAGGCCTTGTTTTAAATAAAAAAGTGCTTAATGCATTAGCTTAACGCGATTTTGGCGTCATAAAGTTATCTTTTTTTTATAGACATTAAGTGTTTTAACTACCGCAATAAATAACCGCTAACTAGTTCAATTTAACAATTAACTCAAATAACTATAAACGTTTTAAATGTAAATTTATTATGAAAAGTTTGTAATGTTTTCAATTGTTATTTTATTATTAAATTTAGTTAAATATTATTTGTAAAAAAAATATATATATATATTTTAATTATTTCTGAAATTTGTTTTTGAATAATTATTGTTTATAAATCGTTATTGAATAAAAAATAATAATGATTTTTTATTTTTAAAAATTTCTGGAGTAAACAAAAAATATTAACATTGATAAACAAAAACCTATGTTAATTTTTTTAACAGCGATTTTGTTTTTTGACTAGCAAAGAATAATTTAGGTTTTTAAATATTTTTTAAATTTATCTTGCTTGGCGTTTCAACTTGCGTTACATAAAAATATAAAAAAGTTTTGTCTGCTTTGAGCATATTTTTTATACATAGTTTAGAACGCGTTCGCCAGGAATTTAATTCATAAATTTTTTATGTTATTGTAAAAATGTTTTACATTTTAAACAAATCACAAAGAAACAGAGCTATAGAGAAAAATCTTTTTTAACAATTAAATCTTTTTTTTTTAAAAATTTAAGGAAATTAAAAAAAAAAATTAAATTAAATATAAAAGTCTTAATAATGCAAACTCTTTTGCAAAACTTTAATTGTGCAAACTTAATAAAATACTCTACTCAACTAAAATAATATAAGTATATTTAATAATTTGAATCATATCTGTTTATAATAAAAGTTCGTAAAAATTTGTTTATTAAAAATTAAGTTCCTTAACTTAAACAAACTCAAAAGGATTTTCATTCTACGTATAATTACAAAACTCTTTTTTTTTTTTTTTCGTTTGTAAGCAATTTAACTTAATAAAATAAAAAAAGAATAGATATGAGATAATCTTTGTTAAGAACAAATTTAATTTATTTATTGAACTATATTTTTATTTTTATTTATATATCAACTTAATTAAAATATAGTAACATGTTAAAATATTTTAACATGACTTGTGTTATTTATAAACCGTAGGGCAGCTGCCCTTACAGCACCATTGTTTTTGGATAATATTTTATTTTGATGAAGATCTCATAACTTACATTTGATTTTAATACCGTAAGTCTTCTCTTTTTCTGTGATCATCGCATCGGCAAAGCATCGGCAAAGTCCCAAGATTTAAAAGTTTTTAAAGTAAATCTTTTGTCCTTCAAAATACAATCCATATTCGAACTTTAAACAATTTAGAGAGAATAGAAATATACAAGGTTTTTATATACTAGTTTGTCTTGTTTTATAAAGAAAAATACATATTCTTTAATAAAAAATAGAGACTGTCATTAAACTAAAACGTGCTTTAGTATTTATTTAATGGAATCTGTAATGTGCGCGTGCATAATGAAACCTCCGTTATATAAATATATTCAACGTAATATTAGTGTCATCAGCGGATGTTATAGACTACTCCTGAAATTTTTTACCTTATAATATAACTTGATTTATGAAAAAAACTTATTGAATCGCACGCAGAAAAAATTTAACAAATTCAAAAATTGCGAGTAACAGGTAATTTTTTTTTTCTGTGCCGGCCCCCTTCCCCCGCATAACTTAAAGGTAAAGGTATCTATATACCTTTAACTAATAAGAAAAGCAAAGAGTAATAATTAATGAAGAAATTTTTAGAAAAATACAAATAGATTGTTAATTCATCGGCACATTTTTTTAAATATCTCGAAAAAATGTCTTGATATTTTTATTATCGTGATAACAAAAATACTAAGACATTTTTTTGAGATATTAAAAAAAATGTCAATCCTTAATTACAAATTTTTTTGCAAATGTTTTTTATTATAAATTCAGTAAAAACTCTTTATAAATCTATATTACAAAAAACATTTATATTCTGTATTAATAAATTTGGAATATAGATTTTTTTAAAAGTTTTTTACTGAAAACTTTAAAAAATTACTACTTTTTATTAAAAACATAGCAAAAAATTTGTAGTTAAGGATTGACGAACAATTTTTCATATTGCTAAATATTTGGATAAAAAGTTTAGCGTAAAATTAATTGCTATAAAAAGGTAAGATATATCGCGATGAAAAGTTACAACAATTATTTTTAACGTAAATTCTTTTTTGTAATAAATATCTTTTCATACCGTTTAAAAGTAAATCTGGTTTTTTTAAAAATTAATTACTTTTTTTATGTTACCGCTAGTTTGAAAGTTAAAAAATGATAAAAAGTAGCTTAACTAAAACAGCTCTACGCATACGTATAAATCGCTTAAGGCATACGTAAATCGCTCTAGGCAAAACGCTTTAAAACAAGGCCTGCACAAAGCATGTATCATGATCATTGTCATCACTTAAAAAACAGAATGACTTATGCTGAATATTT